CCCGTGTTCCGGGTGTTCCGCTCGGGGTCCCCGCGGCCTCGCGATCCGGCGCGCTCGGACCGGCCTCGCTGCGCGCGCCGCCCGGCACGGCCCCGCGCCGTTAACGGAGCGAGGCAGGGTTTAAAAATAACCCCCAGCTGTCTTTGCCTCCAGAAATATATATACATATATATATATATACACATATATCCTGAAATTATGAAAACGGCCTTACGGTTCAGGGCCAGGTGCAATCCCAGCCCTGATGGGCGACGTTCCTGGCCCCGAGAGCCTCCATGGGGCCTTGCCTGGGGCCCTGGGGCTCCCCGAAGGCGGCTCCCGAGCCTGCTCTGGGCTGGGATCTTAATGAAGATGTTCATTTAACGAAGAACCTCCACGGGGAGGCTTCCCGGGTCCCGACGGGCACCGCTCCCCGCTGCGGCGACCCGCACGGCCTTGAGCCTGCGTCTAGTTATCATGGAATCCCAAATCCCAGAAAGGTGAAGGTGGGAAGGGACCTCTAGGGATCACCCAGTCCAACCCCTGCACACGCAGGGTCACCTAGAGCACGTGGCACAGGACTGCGTCCAAGCGGGTTTGGAGATCTCCAGAGAAGGAGACTCCACAACCTCTCTGGGCAGCCTGTTCCGAGGTTATAAACGTGGTGTTAATCATAAACACGTGATTGTCACCTCTCCTGATGGGGAATGGGGCCTGTTTCTAAAAGCAGCACATGGAAGAGCAAGAAGCAAAGCCAAAAACCAGAGATCTGCTCAGCTGCCAGATTTCATTTCACGTCCTGGTTTCAGTGAACAAAACATCCAAATGAGAATCAGTAATAGTTCCTAGGAAGAATAAACCGTTGCTTTTGCTGCTGCGTGAGCATTGGCGAGAGGCCGGGCCGCGCGCGGCCGTGCTGGGCCCTGCGCTAGGCCGGTGCTCACAGGGCCGCTCTCCTCCTCGTGCTCTCTGTGATTGATGTTTTTGTTTCTGCTTCAGCGATGGAAAGAATTTCTCAGAAAACTGAAGAGATATGCATTGTTCAACCCGACTTTTACATTTTATATTAATTTTAGTTTTACGGGTTAAATTATTCAAAGACCTTTTTGAGTGCGTCGAAACCTGTTAAGCTCTTTTTGAAACTGGCATTTTTCAAAAGTCAGAACTAAGTGTAGTGTGAAGACAGCTGAAGTGGTTATTGCAGTGACTGAAAAACAAACCCACGATGTGCCATGGGGTGTAGCACGTCCTTCAAATGAGCCTTTGCTGTAGCTGCCCCTTGTTCTCGGTGGTTTCTTCCCTCTCTCCAGGAAGGCAGATCATCCTCCTCCTCGCTTTATTGTTTTTCTCATCCCCCTGTTCTGGCTCCGTCCTCGCAGGTACCCGAACACGGCCTGCGAGCTGCTCACCTCGGACGTGCCGCAGATCAACGACAAGCTGGGAGGGGATGAGACTTTGCTCAACATCCTCTACGACTTCCTGGATCACGAGCCCCCGCTCAACCCCCTGCTCGCCAGCTTCTTCAGCAAGACCATCGGGAATCTCATTGCAAGGAAAACGGAGCAGGTTCGTGGGGTATTTGCCCTGGCATAGGTGAACCCAGCAATGTTGTTTATGGTGTCTTGCAGTATCGGTGGTGTCCTGATAATGTCGTTGTGAGGTTTGAAACTGGAAGAGTTGACAAACAGCTCTTCTCCTTGGGGTGGGAAGGAAGTGTTGGCTTTGCAAGGCTCTCCAGACTCGTGGTTAGAGTGAATTGCTGGCTCGCTCACCGCCTCTGTGTAGATTTGTTTCAGAACTGCCATAGGTTGGGATATTCTTCTGCTAATTATTTGTATTAATGCATATTGATAACATCCTTTGGTCATTGCCCAGCAGCTTCTTGTTACATAAGTAATGTCTCAGTCTCGTGCCTATAAAAGGAAAGTTGGAAACATTTTCTAGGAATACATGCATTCCAATATAAGCTTAATTTTTGAAATGAAGCATGTGAAAGGTTTATCAGAGAGCCTCAGTGGAATGAAAATCTATTCTGCCTCATGAGTGTCTTTGATATTCTTGTTCCTGTGGGCTTGGTTTCTTTCTGGCATAGAGGAAAAAGATACCTAAAAAGATTTGGTTTAGTATTTCTTTGAAATGAGAGGGTTTTCCCTTCTTTTTGTTCTCTGAAGAAGAACTCATCAACCTCATAGCCATTCTGCATGAGGATTTATTGGTTAGAACAAGAACATGAGCGTAGAAAGTTCTGTGCTGTCACGTCCACATATTGTACCAGCAACTGTTGATGATGTTTTTATGTTTAGGTGATCGCCTTTTTAAGGAAAAAAGACAAGTTTATTAGCCTGGTGCTAAAGCATATAGATACATCAGCGATGATGGACCTCCTGCTTCGTCTGATCAGCTGCGTGGAGCCAGCCACTCTACGGCAAGAAGTATTAAATGTGAGAATTTACCTCTTTTTTTCTTTAAAGATGGGGAGCAAGGGGGCTTGTTTGTTTCCTAAGGGACGGAGTTGTATTTGTTTATTACGAGAGCGCATCCCCTGTTCTGAGGATGATTTTTGCTAGCGCTGAGCGC